AACGTTAGTGGGATTAAAAGCAAGGAGAGTCGTAGAAACACCAAATTCCTTATGTGAGATCGGCTGTGGTATGAGGGATTGCGGCAAATTATATGGATGAATAACATTAAATTCCAGGTGATCGTAATCGCGATGGGAAAGGATCTCGATGTAGCACGACTGTCGCTCCTGAGCTATGGTAGTGGTTTCACGTTCCACGCTGATTACGATGGGCTCAGAGACCTGGTGCCAGCGGTCAATGGTGCTCTCTGTGAACAGCAATCCACCTTCCTGTGGTGCCTGATACTCAGGATAATAATAATATTTTTTACAAGTGAGGAAGTGTTTGGTGGGAAGCACAAGACGTTAAGTATATATATCAATATACAGGGGGGCCAAAAAAAGAGTCACTCTCACTCACATTCAAAACAGAATTAATTACACTTTGCCAAACCAAACCGAATGAGCTCAATTGCATATTGAAGAGCACATTCTATTCTATCAAAAAATTACATAGGCCTTTCTACACCGACGACATCAGAAGATTTTCCCACGGAAACATGGTTCGCGGTACGAGCTCAACGGGGTCGTCGAGAAACCATACTAATTTGCTGTGATTGCTTATCACATACATGAGTGATGAAATAGTGAAAGGTGAGAGTTCCCTAATAACAAGTAAACTACATGTAAACAAAAGGTGCAATTTAACAGAAGCGAGATGAGGAATGCAAAACCAAAATTTGAGATTCTAGTCTGGGCAGTTGGGAGAAATAAGTTTGACAGTGTATTCCTGAATGACCAGTCTGTTTGACTTCATAGTGGTTCTATCAACGAAGGGCGTATGAAATTGTGTTTGGCTCTGCATGCGACAGGCTTCATAGCGCCACCCCTGGTAAATGACTCTTCGATTACAATTAGGCCAGTTTTGCTCCGCACGCTACCGCGCGCATGAAACGGAAGGGCTGTGAAGCAGGACAGCCGACAGAGCGTTAGGTTCACCGCTAAACATTGGTGTTGTTTCGTAGAATGCATTGAGCTCGACCAGTGCACCATGTTTCCAGGGCAAATTCTTCTGATGCCGTCCACGTAGGTGGCCACTATGAAGATTTTCTTATAGAATGGAAATGCGCTCTTCAATAATAAGTTGGAACCATTCGGTCTGAATTGAGCAAAGTGTGCTTAAATCCATCTGGAAGTGGAGACAAAATGTCTTTTTTTTATTGCCCCCCCCCTGTATATACTCTCATATATACTCTTGGCAGCATATACTGCGAGAACTCCGCCCATATTTGCGTTTGTAGTCGACTAACTTGAGCCTTGCAAATCCCATGCTGCTGCCAAGCTGCTGCGGCATTATCTGAGCATTTATTTGAGGAGCTATCACAAGATAATCACAAGATACGAGGGGATCCCCTAGAACTAAACCTTGAAAGCGGCATTCGTTCCGTGAAAAATGAAAGTCGCTCACGCATTCTCGGGTCTCTCCTTCTCCGCCTAAGGCTTGGTCTCGTTTTTAAACAGAGGAGATGTTCCATGTGGTTTCAGATGCACTGCTACCGCACTGAAACCGTCCTGCGATAGCGCTTTAATTGGTACCAGTTCTTTCCCTGGGAAATTCGATGAATTCGATTCACCATTCAATATTTTTGCCATTTGCGTACCCTTATCAAAAACCCAAATGAAAGCTAAGCCTCGCCAGAAGCTATAGTCCGAAATTGAAAGTGAGGATGTACTTCGACCGCTAGCTAAGGGAATTATCAAGCAACAATTAGGCAAGGCGTTGCAGGAAACTCGTATGTGTGGCTCTCACCAATAACTACCGTCATTATGTCGATCCCCTTCCGTGGGTAAGGAGGTAACGAAGAATCTGATTGCTATTACAACGCGTAAGTTGGCGTTGCGATTTTGTCGCAGGAAAGAGGCTGGAAAATCATGCCCATCTTCAAGAGGGCACATCTTCTTTGTAAGGAGCATTTCACCTATTGGAAGAAATATTTGAAAGCTTCTCGAAGTGTGTCTTCTATTTAGAAGTGCTGGAGGTATGCGACTCTGTGAGAAGACTTTTTAGGAAATGGTGAGGAAGATTTTTAAGGTGCATAAGTTTTGACAATTTGAAAAG